GCTGCCTGTTCCCTCCTGGTGGGCCTAGAGTTCTCAGTGCTCCCTGTCCTGGCCTGGGCCCCCTCGGATGGTACCTTTCAGCCCCACTGTGATCTCTGCCTTTTCCCCACACAGCAGTAACCTGAGGCAGGTCCAGGAAGCCTGGTGAAGGTTTGGGGGGCTTCCTGGGAACTCCCGGAGAGCAGCATTTGTTGAGGCTAAAAATGGAGTTCCTGGACAATTGTGCCTCTGCCCAGCACCTTGCCACTACCTGGGGCTGGCATCTGACTGGCATCTACCCCTCCACCCTTGTTAGTTGCTTCTAGCCCGCTGCCTCCAGAACTAGCTCAGGCTTAGCAGGGAAGGACCTCGAGTTTAGGATGGGGAAAGCTGGCGTCCTTCATGCTTCAGGGTTTTTCGTACTCTCTGGGCTCTGGAGCTCATGTGTCCAAGGAGGGTGAGTGTTATGTTATTTGGAATCAGAAAGAGCTGGCAGCTTTTGACCCCTTTCCTGGAGGTGGTTGGAATTAAGGCAAAAAAAAAAAAGGGGGGGGGCTCTTCCCAGCAGATTGCTGCTGCTAGTCTAAAGCAAGAAAAGAAATGTTTAAAGAAATAGGTAGAATTGCAGAGACATGGAGTGTCAGGCCTGGAAGTCACCTTGGTGACCCGCTAGCCCAGTCCCCTTTGGAGAGCCGGGGAAGACACTGAAGCTCTGAGAAGTTCAGAGATTTGCAAGAGTTCGCAGAGCTGCGCCTGGAGCTTTCTGCAGAGTTGGTCATGGTGGAGGGAGCCCCAGCATGTTGCAGACTCCCTGCAGAGTGTCCAGCAGGCTGCAGCCCTGGGCCGCCAGTTCCCCACCCCACTCTCAGGGCCAGTGCTGTCCTGCATACGCTGGTGGGATGTGTGCACCATGCCGTGAGTCAGCACTGGGGCCTGGCCCCGCCCCTGCCCCTGCAGTGCTCTGGCCTGCAAGGCATGTCGGGCCTGTCCTCCCTCCCCCTCCCCCTTCCACAGTGCCCCTGGCCTTGATGTTGTGCGTGCTTCCCTCCAGGGTGCCCTCGTGGTAGAGGGTGATCTGATAAGATGGTTTCCTAGGACTTGGGGTCAGAAGATGCCTCAGGGACACTTCTCTGAGGAGGTGGCCATGGCGGGCCCTGGTGCAGGCTCTGTGCCCTGGCCCTGGCTTCTGCACGGGATACACTGAAGCTGTTGAAGTGCTTGCCCTCCTGCCTGCACATTCCTCAAGGGCAGGGCCCAGGTTTTGTTTGTTTGTTTGTTTTGAGGTGGGGCCTCCCAGCGTTGCCCAGTGGCTGGGACACAGGAGCTTGCCACTGCCTCCGGCTGGGTTTTTGGACACTCATATGTGGCTCTTGGTGCAATGGCAGCTCTGCAGGATGCCGGGAGATGCCGCCCCCTCTGCTGGCTGCTGTCCACCTCGTGCTGAGCCCCAGCCTGGTGCTGGGTGGTGATGGGTGCTGGGACTGCCAGCCTACCCGCAGGCGCTCTGCATCTCACCAGCACCCTCTGCTGAAGAGCTGGTGAATCCTGGTGTCTCCCAACAGTCTCCACATCCTTTCCTGTCCCTTCTGGCTCCCAGGTCACGGAGGATCGCCTCAGCCCCACATATAGGCCAGCATTTGCAGAGGAATTCTTGGGCCAAAAGAATCCGTCCACCCCAGCAGGCTGCCTCCCACCCACCTGGCAGCCCATTTCCTTGCTGATGTGACTTCCGTGGGACTTTTTCCTTGCTGCCAGCTCTTGAGCCGCTCTCTTCTTCCCGTCCTAAAGGCAAGGCCGCGAGCCCACCCCAGGGACGCTCAGCAGCGCCGTCCCTCCTGTCAGCAGCTTTCTGTCCTCCATCAGGGTCAGCACGTTCTCCTCAGCATTTGACCTGTTGCTTCAGCCCCAGGGTTTGGAGACACCTGCCTGGTCACAGCTGCCCACATACCTGCTCCTGTGTCACCTGTGGGCTTGGCCTTGAGGAAAGGCTGCCAGGAGGCTCCTGTGGGACCAGACTTAAAGGACAGTGAGAGTCATGGCATCTCCCTCAGGGTCAGGGGCACTTTGGCTTGGTCACTGAGGCTTCCCCGAGGGAAGTCCTGATTTTCACATTGCTCCAGAATCAAATGCTCCATAGGACAGTGCCTTTAGGGAAATGCGACCTCATCTTGGGGACAGGTGCCTCCTGTCTTAATGATCACTGGGAAGCTGCGAGCTGTCTCCCACCTACCCTGTGCTCTGAGGCTCATCTAAGATCACATTTTTTAAAGGTCTGTTTTGCTGTGCTGCAGTGTTCTGCCTTCCAAACATGGGTGATTGATTCAGAGGTTCATCATCCATTTGTTAAATACTGACATTTATTGAGTACCTACTATGTGCCGGGCATGGTGCTAGGTAGCCTGTGAGGATGAGCTGTGCACAAGAGTGACACAACCCGGCCCTCGTGGAATTGTTGGTCAATCAGTTTGAATTCCACTTACTGTGTGACTGTGGGCTGTCCTGAGTTTTTAGACCCTTGGAAGAGACTGGCGGAGTTGCTTAGTTGACCCAGGTGTGCCAGGCTGCTGGCATAGCCCCTCAGGCTCTTTGCTACCTCTAGTCTGAGCTGTAGCTGTGTCCTGTTCTAATTTCAGTTTCTCTGTACACTTTGTAATTGGGCCACTCTTTCAGACAGCCTGAGCAGTTAATGACCTTGAGAAATGATACCAGTCCTGCACATGGGATCCTGCTCTTTGAAGGCACCCACTTTCTTTGTGGGTCTGTGCCTCTTGGGCACGCCTCCTCTTCCAGCTTTGATGGTGCCACTGTAACAACAGGGTTTGGAATTATTAATTCCTCTGCACAGCAAGGTGCAGTTTTATTACACAAAAAGGGGGAAATATAATTGCTATCTTGAGTAATCATTTTCCGAAGGCTGAAAGCATAACCTTTAATTAATATTTCATCTGCAGCTGGGGTGGGTAACTTGAATAGGGCCTAAAAATATTATTGCCCCTCTGCATGGAGAGAGCTTGAACTGTGAGACACAGAGCCAGTGTGTGCTATTCTGTTCAGTTATTTCTAAAATTAAAAGTGCTTAACCTGTTAACCCGTGATAACATGGGCCACAGGCTGTGACGATGCCGGTCTTATTGAGTGGGCCAGAGGGACAGTTATCACAGCCCCTCACAGAAGCCATCGCACCTGCCTAAGACATGAACGCAGGCAAGGCCTGGGGGCCACTGAGCCCTGATCAAAGCAGCCTCCCAGGTCATGTCCACGGGCCCTGTGCCAGTTGGACTTCCACAGGTCACTGGGTTAAGGCCTCGATGGGAAGAGCCGTCTTTGATGTTTCTGGAGCAGGCACTTGAGATGTTCAAAGTGCTTCCTGGGAGACAGCCAAAGGGTGTTCCCTGGGTGGCCTGGGAACCCAAGAGACTTGTGCTCTGGGGCCAGAAGGAGGCCAGGCAAGGGCCCCATCCAGGGCCTGGTGAGGGACGGTGAGAGGGGAGCAGGGCAACAGCGTAGAGAAGCCGCTTTGGTGGGTGACCTCCCAGCCTTGGGGATTCAGCTGGTAAGGGTCGTAGGGCTGGCTCCAGGGAGGGGACAAAGTCCTTAGTGAAACACACTCGGCACAGCTTGTCATTGTTTGCACATCGTTCCACAGACACCAGCTCATCTGTGTGTGGCAGCAGCCCTCTGAGACTTGGGCAAGCTCTTGTCCCCGTCCACAGGCCTTTCTTAAGCTGGTTCTGCAAGCACACAGGGCGCAGCGCCCTGGCTCTGCCTGTCAGTCCTGAGAACAGCCAGGAGGAAGGAGCCGTTTCCTGCCAGATGACATCTGAAGTCACTGATTTGCCCCTTCATACATGGGGTGTGGGCTGGGACGGGACTTCAGTGGCCTGGTTGGGTAGGGAGGACAGTGGGGTCCCCGGGGCTGTGTGGAGCAGTCAGGTTTGGTGGTCACTGTGAGGCCCACTTTGCCCAGATGCTTTGACATCTCCCTTTGATTCATAGGGATACTGACCCGTACCCTGGGACAGACCAGCACATTTGGGCAAATCATTTAACTTTATAAACACCAGTGGGATCATTTAAAATTTTTTTGCTTGTGGAACCCTAGAGTTACTTTCTGTGTTCTTGAAAAAATATTTTAAAAACATTGTGTACGGCCACGTTATTGATCCCAAGGAGGCTGTCTGAATTCCCGGTCACCTGCCGTGTCTGGACACTGGCCACAGCCGTCGTGTGGCCAGGAGCCCCCTCCTCGGGGAGAAAGGCTCTGGTCCCGGCACAGCCCGCTCTGGCCTCTGCTACCTGCTCCTGCAGAGGGATGGCTGTGGCCAGGGCCAGGGATGGCAGGCCCGTGGAAAACTGGAAAAGGTGAGTTCAGTGTCTGTGCCGCGTACAAGAAGGAAGAGCAGGCGGGCCGATGGCGGCCGTTCTGCCATGTCACGTGCTCCTCTCACTCGCCCTGGGGTGGCCCTGCTGCGGGTGGCCCTGTCTTTCCTGTTGACAAACAAGGAACTGAGTCCTGAGGGACGAGACCCCCAGCCAGGCAGCGCGGTCAGGAGGGAGCTGTGCGGGGAACCCAGCCTGTCTGTCTCCTCCCAGGGGAGAGCCCAGCAGGGAGGACAGGCCTCTCGAGGGACGAGGGACGCTGCCCTTTGTTCCCTCTCTGGGGCTCTGCTCCTGTGGGCTCTGTGCTAACTGAGAAAACGGCTGGAGGAGGGTTTCAGCAGTGACTTCATCCCGTGTATCTCCCCTCTACTTGACCCCTTTATGAGGAATCATGACCTTCTGCTTAGGGTGCGCTGAAGGAGCTTCTCCCCAACCACCCGTCGGTGGTGCAAGGTTGATGTCTTCTGCCCAGTTTCTGTGCAAAGTGAAGCCTTAGAGATGGATGTAAGCGTTGGTACTCAGAACTCTTTGTACCAGGTGAGTGTGTATAGGCAGGTTCCCTACAGCAGTGTTTGTGAAAGCTAAAGCCCCCAGACGTGCCCCTCCAGGGGGGTTCAGTTGGACAGACCACAGCACAGACGTTTAATGAAATGATTACTGTGTTTTTATTAGAGAAATACAAGGTTGCTCTCCACGTACAGATGTGAGAACTGCTTAGGTATAACTGAGCTTCAAACATGGGAGCTGAACTCTGTGCCGCATGCGAACCCACTTAATTTACTGTGCCTGCTTTACGTGGAGGCAAATGCCACTCAGGCGGCCTGTCCTGATGCTGCCAGTTTCTCCTTGGGACCGATGGCAGTTCCAGAGGCTGGATTTCTTTGGGCTAAGCTGCCTATGACATTGAGACGTCTCCAGAGAGCCCTGAGTTCTTTAAGGGGAGGCCGAGTCCACAGCACTGATTCAAATAAGGTGGGTACTTTTGCAGGGTTGGAAGAGCAGGGGCTGAAGAGCAGGGTGGGGACTGTGATGACCCCACACTTGGACTGGAGCGTCTTGGAGGGCACTGCCTCACCACTGTTCAGATGACCACATCAAATTGCCCTTCTTGCGCTGGCACAGCCCCAGATTTAAAGAGGTGAGGAGATTTCTTGGAGGTCATGCAGCAAGGTAGTGATTGGGCTGGGGCTAAGGGCCTCTCTGGAGGTGATCCTGAATGCTGCGTGTCTCAGGGAGGGGTGGGTGGAGACCAGGGGTGTCCAGTCTCCTCTCAGCCTTCCTGGGTGCACCTCAGAGCTGGGGCCTTCCGGGAGCTTGTGGGAAGTCCCGTGAGCATCCTGGCTCGATGCGTTCCCCTTGCAGCTCTCAGGTGATCCTGGTGTGTGTGGTGTGTATGTGCATGTGTGGGTGTGAGACTGTGCATGTGTGTGTGGTGTGAGTGTGTGGCGTGTGCGTGCCTGTGGGAATCGTGTACACGTCTGGGGTGTGTGTGTGTGTGGTGTTCTGAATGTGTGTGCACATGTGTTGTAGTGCATGTGTGCACACGTGTGTGTGTGTGTGTGTGACAGGAGACGAAGGGGACTCACCACAGCGCGTCTGGCTGACCCAGGTGTAGGGCAGCCCAGGCTGTCAGCCCTCTTCTGCTGGCAGCTGGTGGGAGTCTGTGCACAGCCTGGGTGGAGCCTGAAGCTGCGGTTAAGAGGGGCCAGCTCTCCAGTGGTATCCGATGTCCCCTTATTGATTCAGGTAGCAGTGACCCATTCTGAATATTTGGCGACTAATTATTTTTCCAGTGGAGGTGGCAGGGTGAAGAGTACTTTGCTCTGACCTGATCCACTTTCCCGGCTCCCCTAGGAGGGCGAGGGGGAGGCTGGAGGAGGGAAGGTCTCAAGGTGACCTCGGGAGAGAAATCTGCTCAAAGTCTGGGGCGCCCTTCAGCAGCCAGGGTCTCGGCTGCGAATCTCTGGAAGGATAAAAATAGTCCGCCCGCTTTGGTTTGTTGTTGCTGTCTCGTTGCGGGTCGTTTCCTCTGTGGGTGCAGCTCCTGCAGCCTACCTGGCAACACAGGTGGAGTGACAGGCCAGAGCTGCCCTCCTGGCCCAGGCTCACCACTTTAGGAGCTTTCCTTGGAATCCTCTGGCGACTACAACTTGGACTCAGGGACAGGGTGCTCATGGTGAGGGCACCCAGGAAGGACCCAAGAGGATGGGAACAGGGGACAGGTGGGAAAGACCCACAGGTGACCGCTGAGCTGAGCTGTGAGCTGAGGTGGAGCCTGTTTCTTCTCAGTTGCTAAAACTCCTTGGTCAACAGCTGCCTTTGTAGCTCTTGGGCTTTCTTTCTGGTAAGAGCTGCCCATGTCATTATCTCATTCAGGGGCACCTCCCACAGAGGGCTCCAGCAGACAGCAGGTTTGGAAGTCCAGGCCAGGCCAGCAGCCCTGGGAGTTGGAACACCCTTGGGCAAGAATCTATTTTGGGGAAGGGCAAACAGATTGGTAAACAATCGTCTGCTCTACCCTTCCCTGTGAGGCCATGGGGCTCAGGCACTGGGAGGGGATACAGTCAGGCCCTGCAGTTGCCTGCCTATGGGACCCAGGGTCCCTGGGCAGTCACACAGGCTTTCTGCTCAGCTTTGTGGGAGTTTGTGTTCTGCTCAGGGCAGGACGCTCCAGCTGGCTCCCCTGCAGCTGTGTCCTGTTCTGGAGACTTCTCTGGCTGCGGGCAAGGCTGGCCACCAGAGCACTTGCTCTGCAGAGACAGGGGTCCTCTCCAGGCGACTGTGGCTGGGTCAGCACTTACTGTGCTGTGGACTGGGTCCTTGACTCTGAGCACGTGGCTGTCTGTCTGCCTGCAGCTGGGCCGGCTCTGCTGAGGCGGGCCTGTGGCTGTGGTGATTCGCACAGTCATACCCGCCACGCCCCACTGCTGGTCATTCAGGGACCTTGTCTGTGAGTTTGGGGATTCCCCAGTGCCCAGGCTCGTGCCTTTGTCCTAGAGGATGGCCAATGCCTGGCCACATGGTCGGGCTGGTTCCCTACACAGGGGGAGCTGCAGTTCTGTCTGGGAGGCCCAGCGAGGTCCAACCAAATTGCAGGAGCCTTGGGCACACCTGGGTCCTGGGCCCTTGTCCTTCCATGTTGTGTGTCCTTGGGCGATGTCCTTCTGTGCCTGGGTATTGTTGGGATGTTTGCCGCAGGTGGAGCCAGGTGCTCGGACATCCAGCAACATGAACAGGGCCTGCAGGGCAGGGACTCTGCCTGCGGTGACCCTTGCAGCCTGCAGCCTGCAGCCTGGACAAGTGGCCTTTTGTCTCTGTTGAGTCCCTGGAGTCTGTGGGGAAACAGGGTGTTGCTCCCTCTTCTCTGGAGCCAAGAGAGCTCCTGTCTGCAGCTGGGAATGTCGTGGAGGGCCCCAGGGGAATGGGCAGCCCAGTCTGGCTCAGAGTTGAGGTCAAGGGTGGCCCTAGGCATTTTCTGGGCCATCCAAGAGTTGGTTTAAATAAGCCACAGAATGCCCAGGCTGGGATGTGAAGTGGCGCTGAGACCTAGACCAGCTTGTCCCTAGACGTGGGCCAAAGCAGGTCCCTCCAGGCACACCTGACAGCGGCCCGGAGCCAGTGCTCACAAAGCTTCACACTCGATCCCTGGGAGATGCAAAAACACCAGGTGCAGGGCTGTCGGTTAGAGTTTCCATTTACATTACCTGGGGCTTTTCTGTCCAGCCTGCCCTCCCCCCACCCCAGGAGGACTTCACTCACACAAACCCAGTGGGCGGAGGTTCTTTTTGGACCTGTCCACCTGTGGAATGCGACCGCCAGGTAGGCTTGGCGGCTTGCTGTGGGCGGGATGCAGAGCTTCCGCAGAAGACCTGGCACCAGCTCTGGAACTTGAACCTGCAAAGGCGGAGCCATGTGATGGCTGTGCAGACGGGTCCTGGGTCCAAGTCCCTCTCAGGACCTGGGTGGCCATGGAGATGTCAACCACAGAGGGGTTCCCATCTGAACTGGGGTCAGGAACACTCCCTGAGAGGCCAGGAGGGGGGATTGGATAAGTGAGCACTTCCTAGTGTCTTGACGGAGGGCAGCTGGTAACAATGGTGGCAGTCACTCGGCAGGGCCCCCTGCACCTGGCTCCTTGGAATGCTCGGCACAGCGCTCTCACCATGATGAGGAAACCGAGGCAGCTGAGAAGCAAAGTAATGTTACCAAAGTGACCCAGGTAGTGAGAGGTGGCAGGCAGGCGGCTCTGGAGCCCACATGCATGGCCCTCGGTGCACTCCGCTCATGTCTGTCGACCTGGACCACCTCCCTGAGCTGACCTCAGGGTCCCTGGCAGCTTCAGACCTCTCTGGAGGGTCTGCAAGGGGGAGTCCTGGGGTTGCACGGAGGCCTGGTCACTCTGGTCAGCTAGCTCCACATGCTCTGCTGTCCCTGCCCAGGGCCTGGGAGCAGTGGGGGAGGATGTGGGCTCCTGAGCCAGGGGCCTGGCTGTGATTTCTTGATTTTTATCACTAGTAGGAGTGTGACAAAGAGCAACTACTGTGGTCAAGGGCATTTTCCCTCCTCAGACTTAGGCAGGTCCCTTGCTGTGGCCTGGTTCTTTCCTGCTTGGTCCACTCCAGGACCTCTCTGGGGGCTTTCCCATAGGTTTCCAGACTGGCCGGCACAGTCCTCTCACCGCCTGAGCATGTGTTGTGTCGTCCTAAAGGTGCGGGAGTCCAACAAGGGGGCGAGGCACCCAAAAGGCTGGGGAGGGAATTGCCGGGGTGCTTGCTGGCCCTGGAGGGTGCAGGGGGACCGTGTCTGCCTTCCTCTGCTGGTTCTTGGTCCACCAATGTGCCTGAGCCACAGTAGACACCCAGGAAGGTTTGTTGAGTGGCTAGGAGGACACCAAGGACAGTTCCTAGAGCAGGGGCGTTGAGATTAGGGGAAGACGAGGGGCAAGTGGAGTTGGGCTCAGATGTGAACCACCAGCCAGAGACCGATGGCCGCCATGTGCAGCCTGGCAGGGTCCTGTTGGGGATCTGGGAGCGAGTCCTGGGGGAAAGGAACAAAGAGGCTCTGTTTGTTCAACCAACATTTACTTAGCATGGCCCTGGGCCTGTCCTGCTCAGTGAAGGCCGTGATGAGGCTGTGGATGGTGCTGGCAGGTGAGTGGGGGTCAAGCTGGGAGCCTCCCCAGGTGGCTGGGGTGCTGAGTGGGACTTCTGCAGTACAGCCCCCTCCCCCACCAGAGAGGCAAGCAGGAGGCAAAGGGCAGAGTCCAGGAAGGAGGGCGACTGCAGCTGTGGCTCCAGGGCCCCAGGTGCTGTCTAGGGAGGCCAGGGAGGCCATGCAGGTTCCATAGAGGGACCTGAGAGCTGTGGCCATGGGGCAGCTGCTGGCAGGGGGACTGGCCTCCACCTAGAGGCTGCCCTCTTGATTGTAGGGCAGCTGCATTTGGGCTGCACTGAGCCCAAGTCCCCTGGGGAAGGGCACAGCTTCAGGGTCCCACTCACTGAGTGTCTGATTGGGCAGGGGCCCCAGAATGTGCATTTTAGTTTTGTGGGTTTGTATTTGGAACCCCAGGAAATTCTGATCCTAGTTCTTTGACACAGAAGCACCTCTCTGTGAGCACTTCCGGCCACTAACGCCAGAAACCCTTTGAAGCCCACGATGTCGTTTCTGTGGTGCCAGAAGTCATGTCCCCAAACTGCCCCTTCTTACCTGGCCCTCCTGGAGCCGCGAGGCCTCACGGGAGATGAGCAGGGTTGACCTGGGGGATCTGAGTTCTCTCCTGTCAGGTGATGGTCTCACAGCTCCAAGTTCAAGGGTGTCCCTGTCAAGAAGGACTCTCAGATGGCTTCTAAGTACAAAAACATGTGCCTTGGTGTAAATTAAAAGTGAATTAAAAAAAAATAGCAGAACCAGGGAGGAGACGCACTGGGGGTGACAGTGCTCGGTTATCCAGGCTGTCACTCACCAAAACTTCTTCCAGCTCCTTCAGGGTCACAGACGTCCTGGGGGCTGTGTGAAGGAGCAGACTGAACTGTCAGTGTCCCTCCCAGGGCAGAAGCCTCACAGCCCACAGGAGCCTAGGCCACCAAATCCGCCCTTGATCTGGTCAATACAATGCTCTGCTTCTCCCAAAGGGAGGAAGGATCTGTGCAGGCTGCAAACCCGGCCTGCCCTGCCCTGCCCGGGGCTGCCAGTGACCTTCTGTCCTGTGAACCGGTTCCTGCAGCTACTCGCCAGGCCAGCCCTGAATGGACCACAGCTGGCTTCAGGGCATTTGTCCTCTGATCCTGACCTGAGGTTCTCAGGTGGCCACCCCAGACTCAGGGGCCTCCTTGGAGCCCAAGGGGACTCAGAGGCCGCCACCTTCGAGGAGTGGGAGAGGGAGCAGGCAAGGTTGTGTTTGCTCTGGGGTCCTCAATGGAGGGTCACTTAGAACGATGGCACCAGAGAGACTGCTGGACTCTCCTGTTGTGGGTCAGTCTCTGTCCATAGCCAGCTTTTGTGTTCCTGACAGGACGAATCAACTAATGGGTGAATGGAACTTTGCGCCCAGCTCTTACTTCACAAAAGGAAAACAAACTAATCAGCGTCAATAAAGGCCCCCAGGGAGGGAGAGTGCTCGCGGTTTCTGTCTAGAAATCCATCCCAGGGAGCCACTCGGGGCAGCTGTGGTGGTGACGGAAACCGAGTTTTGGGAATATTGCAATTTATTCTTTTCCCGGGATCTTTCTTTTCTCTCTGAATTTGAATTTCCTTGGGAACTAACCAAATGCAGCATCTGGGTGCTTTTGTGTTCTGTTTTTGTTTTGTTTTTTTTTAGGTCATGACTTTCTCTAAATAGTAATTATTAAACAAAACCAAAGGGGAGTCTTCGTGAGGATGCTGTTTGCAAACACTTGCTGGTTTACCATCTCTGAGGTGGCAGCGCGCAGGACCCTGAGCTTCTTCTGTCTCTCCAAAGGACGCGCCGGGGCGAGCGGGGCCTTCTCAGTGGTGCCTGCCTCGCTCAGGGGTGCTCTCGGCAGGACCTCAGAGCGCGTCTCCCCTCGCTCCCACCCCACTCTCCTGGGACCTTCATGCTTTGTCCCTGTTGCAGGGTCTGGAATCCTGGCACTTGGTCAGTGTGCTGGGGTGCCAGGGCGCCAGGTTTGGGCACATCACTTGGACTCACCATCCTGTGGCTCATTTGCCAGGGACCAGTGTCTCTTGGAGGGACTGTGGGGAGGATGAGGCAGAGCTCAGGGGACTGCCCGTGTGCCCTCAGGAGGGACCCAGGCCGTGGGTCTGCAGCACCCTAGGAAGCCCATGGGGGGCCAGGTGGCAGAACTGTGCCGTCTGTTTCCTGTGGGCACCTCTGTGCACCCAGGGTCTTGGATGCCCAGAGGAGGGCAGCAGCAGAAGAGCAGGATACACCAAGGTGACTCCAGCCTGCGGGGACAGCACCCCGCGAGCAGTGGGGCTGGGTTGGGGGCATGAGCTGTCGTGGGCAGCAGCTCTGGAGAGGGTGACGAGCTGGACTGGTCTGAGGCTGCAGGGGCTCCTCTGGGACAGAGCTGGCGTTTCAGGGCTGGCCTCACACTGGGGTGCTCGGCCATGTTCCTAGAGGACCAGTTATTGGGGAACTGGACCCGAGAAGGACCTCTCTCCTCCTCTCTCTCTCTTCCTCCCTGTTTCTCTGTTTACCCCTCTCTTCAGCTGTGATCTGTGGACTCATTTGAGGTGGGGGGTAGTGGGTTCAATACGGACCCCAAGGCTCTCTGAATCTCGGGAGGATGCCTGGTAGGTGCACTTAGAGTTCATACCTACCAGAGTTTGACAGCCGCCCTCTGAAGCCACAGTCGTCTCTTCCCCTGGGTGCAGAGGTGTGTGTGTGTGTGTGTGTGTGTGAGAGAGAGAGAGAGAGAGAGAGAGAGAGAGAGAGAGAGAGAGAGAGAGAGAGGTGAGTGTGAGTCCAGAAACTGCAAGATGGGCCGGCAGGGTAGAGGCCTGGCGTGTGCCGGGTGGAGGCCTGGTGTGTGCCGGGTGGAGGCCTGGTGTGTGCAGGGTGCTCAGTTGATATTGACTTAGGGAGGGAAGGAGGGAGGACTTAATTTTAAAAAGTAAAGATGGCATTAAGGAACACTGAGATATGACCCATGGGTATAAAGTTATATAAGACCCCCTTTACCTAAGATGTGCACACATGGAGACCCCATGTCGACGGATGGCCAGGAAGATGCAGGCTGTCCTGTGATGCTGACACCTTTGTGGAGCCTTTGTAGGGAAAGGCTGGGGCCACAGCTCCCGCCCGAGGCCTGGCAGGATCTCTCCTGCTCTAGGGAGGTCAGTGTTGTTCTCTTCAGGCCTCAGCTGGCGGGATGAGGCCCACCCTGTGATGGGGGCCAATTTACTCACACTCTACTGATTTGTGTATAGATCTCCCCAAAACACCCTCATGGGAACATCCAGAATACCCTTTGACCCAGCCATGTTGACATAAAATTAATCATTGCAGCCTCTAAAACGTTATCTTTCAGGTAGTCAGAAGTTTCTCTGGCTGTAGAAAGCTAAGGCCACGTGAGGCTCCACAAAGGGGTCAGGCATCACAGGTCAGCCTGCGTCTTCCTGGCCATCCGTCGACATGGAGTCTCCATGTGTGCCCGTCTTAGATGAAAGTGAGTCTTATATAACTTTATACACATGCGTCATATCTCAGTGTTCCTTAATGCCAGTCTTTACTTTTTAAAATTAAATCCTCCCTCCCTCCCTCCCTCCCTAAGTCAATATTAACTGAGCACCCTGCACACACCAGGCTCTTGGCCAGGGGCTGGGGAATCAGAAATGGAGACACCCCTGCTGCCTGCAATGAGCTTAGAGTCCAAAAGGCCCCTGTGCAGAGGGGCCATGGTGCAGAACTGCCACCGGTGTCCTGGAGCTGTGGGCTCCCTCCCCTTCTCTCAGTCCTCGGCAACGGTGGGGATCAGCTCTCAGCCTGCAGCGCCCCGTCCTCCGGTCAGCACCACTTCCTTTTGTGATGCCTCTTTTCCTCTGTGCAGAGGTGCCTCGTCCTTTTTTCTCCTAAAGCTGGGGTTGAGGACCCCAGCACTGACAGCACACACAGACCCCAACCCAGACCTCTGAGTCAGACTCTGCCTGGGAACAAGATCTGCCTGTGATTCCTGCAGTTTCCATCACGCCCTGCAGGTGGAAAGAAAAACTTCCATGTGGGATTTCAGAAGAATGGATGGCTTGGTCAAGGGGCTGCCCTGCTCGGGATGATTTTAAGCAAGTGTAAGAGGTTGGAATTTTTTCCTGGGTGAGGTTCCCTCTTCTTGGGCTCAGAGGGAGGCAGCCTGGCAGCTGCTGGTGATAGGGAATGGCAAGGGCAGGCTGCCGGGAGGCCAGCTCGTCTTTGACCCCCCACCGACTCCTGGAGCTGTCTTGGGCCACACGCTTCTCCACGATAGTTCTCTCCGTTGTAATATGGGGATGATTAAAAAAGAAAAAGTCTGGGTTTTGGGGGAATGAGCAGGCCCATAGCTAGTGGGTATCTGCATGATGTGGGCATGGCCATGACTGTAGGACAGGCAGTGGGTGGCACTGGAGGGAGTCAAAGTTCAGGAGTTTGATCTGGGGAACTCCTGGCTCCTCATCTTCAAAGTGAGGATAGCACCTGCTCAGGGCTGTCTTGCGGGTTAAATGAGATTATGCATGCCAAACGCCCAGCAGGAGCTGTTATTTTTGTAAAAACAATTGGTTTGGGAAACCACCCTGTGTACGCAGAGCTGGCTCTCAGCTTCAGGGCACCAGCACCAGACTCATGCCCAGAGACGGGAGGCGCAGGTGGAGGGAGGGGCCACTTGTGACTGTGGCAGTGTCTTCTAGATTGTTCTGCAGGACATTTAGACCTAGATTCTCGAGAGAATCTGTAAGGAGTGCAGAAATTAACATGACATGCTGCTAAGTGGATTTCTTTCTCTTCAAGGTAATGGCAGCTATGAGAGTCGCTCGTGGTGACGGGTTTTCTATTTCAAAGAACCTAATGTAGTAAGTTCGCCTATAAATATTCTGTCATAGAAGGTGAGCCTCCTCCAGGAAATTTTGCTGATGGATTTTGCTCCTTTTGGATCCATATTTCCAAAGCTGATTTTATCTTGTGCCTCTGGTGATTGGCAAGATGGGGAAGCCACCGCCTGTATTCAGAACAAAATTCACAGAGCACACGGTCACTTTTGTTCCTTTATTAGGGTCTTCTCAAGAACTGAAGGAGAGATTAAAAAAAAAAAAGAAAAAAGAAAAGAAAAGAGTTCTTTAGTCACTGAAGCATTTAATTAGGTGGTTTGGGATCCTCTGAGATCCTGCAGCTTAGGAGCAGAGTCAACTGCTGGCCAGGACCTTAATTCCTGAGGTCTTATTCAGTAAGTGCCTACTGGGTGCATTGAAGGTCATGTGCTTGGAGCAATGGAGGGTGGGATGGTGGGATGTGCTGATGAAGGGGACATGGACCCTGTCCTCCTAAGCCAGGATGGGAGGGACAGGCAGAGCCTGGCAGGCTCTGGGCGAGGCTTGGGCTGCTGTGGAATACAGCTGCCGTCAGGAGATGTGTGTGGGGAGGGCTGGGTTAGTGCCAGCCGAGAGGAGGGCCTGGGGAAATGGTGACCTACGATGGGCTCTTGAAGGATGGGAAGGACCCCAGCAGAAAGCCACGTGGGAACAGGCCTGTTCCCCTGGGGTGGGTGCCGTCAGCTGGCCAGAGCTGAGCAGTCTGGAGAGACCTGGGCAGGGACTGTGGAAAGCAGCAAAACCAGAGAGGTTCCTGGCCGCATTCCTGGTGGCTGGTCCAGCCCTGAGGGTTTGCGCCTCCCCTGGGCCTCGGGTGAGTTGAGGAGCCGTTCTGCCCAGCCTCTCGGGCCTCCCTGTTCCCAGGCAGCAGGAAGGCCCTCCTCAGAGCGGCTCTGTTCTAGGCCAGAGTTCTCCAGGCTTCCGTGGGGCTTTCTCACGTCCCTGATGCACACCCCCCGTGGGTCTCCAGCCCCAGCCAGATCTGGCCAGGAGCAATCCTGGGCCTTGTTCCTCTAACCAGGCTGCTCTCACCTGGCCCAGAGCCACAGCCATAAACCCAGTGCTGTCTGCGGTGCCCCAGGGACATCAACCTGCCAGACCAGAGGGTCAGGAGTGCAAGGACTTGAGGAGTGGAGGCTTTGCCCGGAATGTGCTGGAAGCAAGCACACGAGTCCCTGGACGCTCTGCGGCAACACGAGGGACTTCTGGGTCACCATGATGTGACCAGACACCAACCAGCAAAACCCCACGAAGGAATGACTGGAACCTGGCAGGGACAGAGGTGTCCAGCTCGGGGTCGCAGTCCTGCTGGGGACCTCACAGGGAGGGGACGGGAAGGCTCCACACAGGGGGCACCTCTTCCTGCCTTGGATTCTGTGCCCGCCCCCCCACTTGGTTTCCCACAAGACGAGGGGAGCCCCAGAGCGTCTGCTGGGGGGAGCCCCAGAGCGTCTGCCGAGGGCCACACCATCCATCCTGGGCAGGGCGCTGCACCGGCCCTCACCTGCCCTCCCAGCCCCTACTGGCCGCTGCGGTGTACCTGGTGTACCTGTGGGCGACTTACCAATGCCAGCGTGGGACCTCCAGCTGTGACTCACTCCCACGGGATTTGAAAGATGAAGCCAAAACGTTCATTTTGTTCCAGAACATAAAATTGATCCATGTTCAGAGCTCATAGCACACAATTTGGAAATTGAGCTGGGGTGGGTGGGTGGGGGAGGGGCGGGGGAGAGTTCGTATTTTGTAGCGCCGACCGCTGTTCCTTTTTTCTCTGTCTGCACATTTATTTCCACCTTCACCTTCCTTTGGCCAAACTGGATTTTACTCCGCGAGCAACTCTGAAGCCACTTACTTTCCATTCGTCCTGTCTTATGAACCCGCTTCCTTGTGAGTTGACCTTCGAGTGCCACACCCCTGGTGGCTGCCTGTGTCTTGTCAGTGCTTCCTCAGGCCTGCTCAGCCCTGTCCCTTCATCCCTGTTTGCTCCCAGGACTCCCCGTCGGCCTAGGCCCAGCCTGCGCCTGCTGCCCTGAGTCCTGATGGTTTTGACGGCATCCAAGCCATGGGCCGCCCTGTCATTGTCCTGTGGAGCCTCCTGTCTCTGGTGCCAGCTCTGCGCTCACCTTCCAGGGCCCATTAGCTGTGTCTGCTCTTCCCTGATGTGCAGCCCTGTGCCGTCTGCCCGTACCAGGCCGCAGGCCCCAGGGCGGCCCTGTTCTTGTTCCAACCATGGCTTTCTGATCACAGATGCAAAGATCCACCCTGAGGTTGGAGGCGTGCACTGAAGAAGCCCTACCCGGTTGGTGCATTTCCTGCCCTGACCTTGTCCAGGACTCCCTGTGTGAAATCTAAGGAGGTAAGGAGTGCTAGGTGGCCTGGATGTGCATGTCCCCAAGGACATTGGGAGGAGAGGGAACCACCATCTGCTGGGCACCTCTTGGGATTTGGGCTCTGGCACGGACAGCTGCATGTTGGCTAAGGTCTGGTGGTGGACCTGAGATTTGGGCTGCCTATCACGCCTTGCAGGTGGCCTAGATCTCCACTCACAGGGTGCCTGAGCCTGGGCACGTTCTAATGAACAGAAACTTACATGGTTCACAGTTCTGGAGGCTGGGCAGTCCAAGATGCAGGCGGCTGCATCTGATGAGGACCCTCCTTCTGTGTTATAACAAAGTGGAGGGCATCACAGGAGGGGGCATCCTCAATTTTATAACAAGCTCACTCTCTCAGGACCCACATTAACCTGTCAGGAGGGCTCTAACCTTAGAGCCTGTGTGCATCTGAAATGCTCCCCTTCTTGCCCTGTTGCATTGGGGGTCATGTTCTAATCTCATGGACTCTGGGCACACAGTTGGCCACAGCGGCCTGTGGGAGGGTACCCTGACCCCTTGTAACCCACAGATCTGGACCCAGCATGGCATTGAGCACACAACTCAACCCAGAGGGACTTGATCTGGGTGACTGTGTGAGAGGCCACACAGCTGGCTGCTCATGGCCAGAAAGCCAATCGGCAGTCCCCGGGGCTGGACTGACCGTGCAGCCTTAGCCAGGTCCCCAGCCACTCTGTGGTCGAGACTCACGCCAGCTGGACTCACAGTACTGATGTATCCATCAGATGTCAGCTCATTAGTATTATTGTTTTTATTGTTCTACCATGTCAGTGAGGTGTGATTCCTAGGCCGAGGGTACATGTGTTTGTTGTGTACAACCTGATGAGTTTGGAGATGAGTATATTTCTGTGAAACCATCACCACAATCTATGCTGCAAACATTTCCACATCCCTGGACGTTTACTCCTGCCCACCGTCATCATCGGATGGTATCACCTTATGTTCTATTTTTTGTGATAAGGGCACTTAATCTAAGACTACCCCTTTAACAAACTTTTAAGTATATAATAAAAGTATAGATAACTACAGGAGCCATGCTGTACAGAAGTTCTCTAGGACTTGCTCATCTTTTGCTTTTTCTTTTAGGGACAGAAGACTCCATTGGGACATAATTATAAATGCATGGAATATATCTTGTTCTAATTCAGTCCCCAGTACCTCTCCTTCCCCTTACCTTCCCGATTTGATCTTTCTGTCATTTACCCATAGTTACTTTTTAAAAAGTTAATTTCTTATGGACGTCCATGATGGTGAGATTCAGGGTGGTGCATTCATGTATGTACGTAGGAAAGATATGTCCGATTCAGTCCACTGTCTTTCTTTCCTTTTCCCATCCCCCCCTTCGTTTCCCTTTGTCTACTCCTCTGAACTTCTGTTCCCACACCCACCTCCCTTATGTGGTTAACTTCCGCATAATCAGAGAAAACATTCAACCTTTGGTTTGTTGGGATTGGCTTATTTCACTTAGCGTGGTAGTCTCCAGACCCATCCATTTACTGGCAAATGTCATAGACTCATTCTTTATGGCTGAGTAAGACGCTATTGTATATATACACCACATTTTCTTTATCCCATAGGACTTAGTCATCGTTCATAACTGAAACTGTGTACCTTTTTTTTTTTAAAGAGAGAGAGACAGAGAGAGAGAGAGAGAGAGAGAGAGAGAGGAGAGAGAGAGAGAGAGAATTTGTGGTGCTGAGGATCGAACTCGGGCCGCATGCATGCCAGGCGAGCACGCTACTGCTTGAGTCACATCCCCAGCCCTGAAACTGTGTACCCTTTGACCAATAGCTCCTTTTCCGCCTCTCCTCATTCCCAACAGCCAGTATTCTACTCTTTCTCTCTGCATTGGACTATTTATTTTTTCCCAGATTTATTAGAAAACAAAAATTATATAAATTTAAGTTATAAAATCTGATGTTTTGATAATGAAATGGTCATGACAATCCAACTAATTAACTCATTCATCACCTCACCTAACCTCCCATATTATGTTTGTGTGTGTGTGTGTGTTGGGGGTGGGTGAGAACACTGAAGACCCACCATCTTAGCAGAGGTCAAGCACACATGTGTTATCATCACCGGTAGCCACCAAGCCGAGCATTGGTTCTCTAGAACTGACTCATCCTGCATCATGGAAACTGGGACCAGCAGCCCACCCTGCCCCAGCCTTGGAAGCCACCATTCTGCTCTCTGCTTCTAGGAGTCAACCCTTTCAGGTCCACACGAGTGAGCCCAGTGGTGTTTGTCCTTCTGTTTCTGCCATTTCCCTTGGCACAACATCCTCCAGGTTCACCCACATCGTCACAAGCGATGGGACTCCCTTCCCTTTGGAAGAGGCTGTGTGCATGTGTACATTCGCTGTTTCCTTTATCCACTCGTCTGTCAGTGGACGCTAGTTGTTCTTGCTCTTGTGAATGATGCTGCCTGGTAACTGGCAGCTCTTCAAGGCCCTGATTTCAAGTTCTTTGAATATATACGCACAAGTGAATTTCTGGATCACATGGCAGTTCTGTTTTCCGTTTTCAGGGAACCTCTATAGGGTTTTCCGTAGTGGCCACCTGATTTACATTCCCACCAACAGGACGCAGGTGTGGCCTTTTCCCCATCCTTGCTAACATTTGATATCCTTTTTATTCAACATTTTTAGTTATAGATGAACACAATACCCTTGTTTTACTTGTTGATTTTTTTTTATGTGGTGTTGAGGATCAAACCCAGTTCTTCACACTTGCTTGGCAAGCGCCCTGCCTCTGAGCCTCAACCACAGTCTTATTGTCTTTTTTTTTTTTTTTTTAAACAGCAATCATCCTACCAGGCACGGTGTGATAGCAGACTATGGTTTTGATTTGCATTTCCTCTGATGATTAGTGTTGTTCGGTACATTTTCATATATCTAGTGGTCTTCCCTGAAGAAATGTGTATTCAGAGTATTTGCCCACTTTTCAATTGAGTTATTATTATTATTGCTATTAAGTTGTAGGACTTCCTTCTATATTTTGGGTGTGAACTTTGTATCAAATATGTGGTTTACAGATATTTTCTGCCATTCTAAAGATGTCCTTTCATTTTTTTTAAAAAACTTTATTTGTTCTCTTTAGTTATACAAGACAGTAGAATGTATTTTTGACATAGAATCCATACCTGGAACATACCTTCCCATTCTGTGTTTGTACATGAGTGGAGTTACACTGGTTGTATAGTCATATAGAACATAGAAAAATATGTCCGATTCATTATAAATGTCTTTCCCATTCCCATCCCCCTCCCCTCCCTTCATTCCTCTTTGTCTAATCCAGTGAACTTCCATCACCCGACCCCATTGCTTATTGTGAGTCAGCAACTGCATATCAGAGGGACTATTTGGCTTTGGTTTTTTGGGATTCGTTTATTTCACTTAACATGATAGTCTCCAGTTTCATCCATCTACCAGCAAATGCCATAATTACTTTTCTCTTTATGACTGAGTAATATTCCATTGTATACAACACATTTTTTGATCTATTCATCTGTTGAAGGGCACCTATGTTGGTTCCATAACTTAGCTATTGTGAATTGAGCTGCTATATATACTGATGTGGCTGCCTCACTATAATATGCTCTTTTTAAGTCCTCTGGGTATAAACCAAGGAGTGGGATAGCTGGGTCAAATGGTGGTTCCATTCCCAGTTTTCTGAGGAATCCATACTGCTTTCCAGAGTGTTGCACCAATTTGCAGTCCCACCAGCAATGTCTGAGTGTGCCTTTTCGCCTCATCCTCGCTAGCATTTGTTGTTGCTTGTATTCTGGATGATTGCCGTTCTGACTGGAGTGAGATGAAACCTCAGTGTAGTTTAATTTGCATTTCTCTAATTGATGCCCTTTATTTAGTTTTCTATTTCCTTTGCTGAGTCGAAGCTTTTTAGTTTGGCACAATCTCATTTGTCTACTTTTGGGTCTTCACTCTTTTTTTTTTTTCTCTTGCTCTGTAGTTCTGTTCAAATCAGTTGTTTCTTTATGGATTTGCTGTCTGGAAGGTCCATCTATTACAGTATGGTCTTGAATAGTCTAACAAGTTTGTCAAATTAGTTTAAGTTTTAAAAAACCAACTCTTGGCTTTGGTGTTTTTTCTATTTTTCTCTTTTCTGTCTTATTTATGTCTGCTCTGATCTTATAACTTCCACCGTTCTGCTAACTTGGTTTGTTTTTATTCTACTCACTTGAGGTGTGACATTAGGTCGTTTAGTTGAGAGCTTCCCCACGATAATGTTTTTGCTGTTCCCGTGTTTTGGTGTGTTGTGTTTTAGTTTAAGTTGTCCTGAGATGTTTTATAATTTCTCCTTTGAGTTCTTCTTCGACTCACTGATTGTTCAAGAGTATTGTTTAATTTTTAAGTTCTTGTAAATTTTCCTGTTTGACTTGGATTATTAACTTCTAATTTAATTTCATCGTTGGAAAAGGAACGATTTCGACTTAAACATTTTAAGATTTTTTTGGTGACCTAGCACGTCATCCACACTGGAGGATGTTCTGGGGGCTCTTGAGAAGGATGCTGCCCCCGTGTTGGGTGGAATGTTCTCGGATGTTCTGCAGAGTTGCTTAGTCTCTTGTTCCCTACTGCTCTTCGGCCTGGACAGCAGACTTGTCACTGAGAGCGCTGAGTCTTCCTGCAGTGACTGCATGGCTGCTGTTAATCTCTTCAGATCTGTAAATATTTACTCGACATCCTTAGGTACTAAGACTTTGGACGCATACATGTGAATTATTGCTAGATCTTCCTGTTGAATTGAGCCTTTGGTTATTATTTAAGGTCTTCTTTGTTGTGGGGTTCTTGACTGAAAGTGTTTGATTGATGTAAATACAGCTACTCTTGCTTTCTTTTGGTTTCCATTTGAATGAACTCCCTTTTTATATCCCTTCGCTTTCAGCGTGTATGTGCCTTCACTCTAGAGTACGTGTCTTTTAGACAGTGTGTAGCTGCAGCTTCAAAAAATCCACTCAGCCACTCTGCTTGTTTTGATTGGTGGGTTAATCCATTCATATTTGAAGTAACTATTCATGATTCAGGACTGACTGTTGCCATTTTGTTCACTGTTTTCTGTTTTGAACTTCTTTCATTTTTGTTTCTCTCTTCCTCTCTGTTGTCCACCTTTGTGATGTGATTTTTTTGGGGGGGGGCGGGTACTGGGGATTGAACTCAGGGGCACTCGACCACTGAGCCACGTCCCCAGCCCTGTTTTGTATTTTATTTAGGGTCTCAGTTGCTTAGTGCCTCGTTGTTGCTGAGGCTGGCTTTGAATCGTGATCCTCCTGCCTCAGCCTCCTGAGCTGCTGGGAGTGATTTGATATTTTTGAGGTGACATGCTTTGTGATAATTTTTTTTTTTTACTTTTTTGTAGGTTTTTTTTCTTTGTGGTGACCATGAAGTTTGCATAAAACCTTTTACAGTCAGAACAGTCTGCTATAAACTGACACTGCCCTAATTTCAATTGCATGCAATTTGTTTATATTGTGTATCTATTCACAAATTATAGCTATCTGTCCTTTTTCTTTTTTTTAAATATTTTTTTTAGTTGTAGATGGACACAATCCCTTCATTTCACTTACTTGTTTTTATGTGGTGCTGAGGATAACCCAGGGCCTCATCCGTGCCAGGCAGGCACGCTACCACTGAGCCCCAGCCCCAGCCCAGAAATCACAACTGTTCTTAATGCTTTGTCTTTTAACTTTCCTATGAGGGTTAAAAGTGATTAAGCACCACCGACCACCGATTAAAGTGTTGTATCACTCTGTTGTCTGCATATTTACCTTTGCCAGTGAGATGGATAATTCCATATGCTTTTGTATGGCTACCTAGTATTCTTTCAGGAAAAAGTCTCTGTAGCACTGATTATAAGGCAGGTCTAGGGGTGACAAACCCCCTCCATTTATTTCTTTTTTGTTTTTAAAGGCTAACCTGCTGTGTGGCGTTCTTGGGTGACAGTTCTTTCTTTCTGCATGTTGAACACACCGTCTCGCTCTATGCTGGGCTCAGGGTTTCTGCTGAGAACCTGTTGACAGTCTCATGGGGACCACTTTGATGCGTTGAGTCACCCTTTCGCTGCCTCCAACATTTCTTTGGCTTTTGAGAATTTGAGCATGATGCACCTCAGGGCAGACCTCTTAGGTCTGGCCTGTGTGGTGTCCTTTGTCCTTCATGAATCTGTATGGACATATTCCCCTGACAGTGTCCAATAAGTCCCATAGTTTTCTTCACTTTTCTCATTCTTTTTTCTATTACCTTCTCTCCATGGATAACTGAAGATGACCTCTTTGAGACCACTGTTTATTTCTTCTGCTTGCTCTAGCCTCTGTTGATGTTCTCCCGACCTTACAGAGTTGAGCTGGCGGGCGAGATCCACCACGTGCTGTCTGTAGGGGCCTGCGGGCTGTGGTCTGTGGGAGCTTGCAGGGCACCAT